ATAGTAAACACGCTATTCTTAAGGTGACACATTTCGGCAACTGAGGTGTGGCGTTGGAGCCGCTAAGGTATCATTTCGGAACAGATGGATGGAAGGAACGGTAAATGTGCGAGCGCGCATAAGGGTCCGCACTGGCGTTTCATGTTAAGACGAGTACGAAATTTTCGTAGCGTTTTGGAACCAATGATGGTGCATTAAGCAGAGAGTATTTTGTGAACCTGTTACAAAATTTTATTGAACACAAACTACTACTGCCTTTTGGTAATTGAAGAACGCTTCGGAAGTCGCACTCCCGAAGTTTGGAATTAAAGATCCGCCGAAAACTCAATGCGTATGCATGGACCGTTCCCTGTCTTTGGTGTGGTTGGCTGGACGCCCTATACAACGGTATTAGACACAAACTAACACCGCCTTTTGATAACTGAAGAACACTTCCAAAATACCGCAACGAAGTTTTAAGAGTGTAACTCCACATAATTTGACGCCTGTGGTTCCGCAGGCTTAACACTCACCCAGCATTATTCGCTTTATCACCCGAGAACCTTTCTGGCAAAATTAGCGAAAACACTTGGTTTTTAGCGTTTCCACTGTCAGCAGTCAAAATTAGCGAAAACACTTGCTTTTTAGCGTTTCCACTGTCAGCAGTCTCATGTTTATGTTTCTATATGTGCCGTCATGGTGTCCGTGACGACGTATTGTCACAGGACGTCTGAATGTCACGTGACGTTACAGTGTTACGTGACGTCATGGCATCACGTGATTCATGATGACACCTGACGTCATTAAGTCGCGTGGCGTCACCGCGCAACTTAACTTCACATAAAAATGTCACGTCATATTTTCACCTGACGCCAGTACACAGGTGACGTGATGCGCGACGTGACTTCTGATTCGTGTCAAGCGGCGTGACGTCAGCAGCGTGACGTCAATGGTTGATATTTTGGCGGAGTGCCGAAAATGGCGCGCGTCGATATGGAGCGCGGTCAACTGTGCGAAACCCGCGAGCTGTCCACTAACTGCTATCACAGTAAAAACGTGACAACACAACACCGTCTCAAACTCAGCTGCAAAACTTCTTTTCACGCGTCCTCTCTATGCAAGCCACAACTCCTCAAACAACGCTAAAGCCAACATCATCGTCCCCACCCCTCCACCTCACCACCTGTCTGTGAGTGGGGTTGACGGTTCCTGTCGTCAGCGTTGTTTAATAAGTTGTGCTCATATAAAGAAAACATCCAAAAATAAATTTTGCAGCCGAGTTTCGAGAAAGTTTTTTGTTGTCCCGTTTTTTATCCCTAGTCCCAAGGTTTTTTTTTATTCCCTCACTATTAGACGTTTTTCGCCATTTTCTAAGCAGTTAGGCATAGATCCATGCGACACTGAAACGATTCCCTGACACCGTTTACTTAAAACTAAAAAATTCGCTAAATATTCGAATCATCGTCGTGGCGGCGTCGGACAATGGAAGAAAGAAGTGCGGATACCCTGAGCGTACATTTTTGGTGAATCTACACAGGACCACTGTATAACTCCAAACATGAGACGCGCGCGATGTCCGTCACTTCATCCTGCAGAAGCATTCAGAGAACCAAAAGGGGTCGTGTCATCCGCAAGGTGACAGAAACTGCAGCGCAGTCGAAGCGGTTTAGCGTTGGCTGTCGAATAATTATCGTATATAAAGCAGTAGGAAGCTCGACGTGTTCCGCATGTGGGGCATGGAGCGTCGATACATCCGTATTTACGATGAGTCGAGAAGGCCCGCGCGATTGTTTATATGGATTATTCCAAGCGTAGGCAAGAAACGCACGAAAGGAACAACGCTCCGACTGCTTCGCTTTCGATTTTGTCGGTGGCAGGCTATTGTGATTCTGGGATACGGATGCATTATCGGCGCATCATACCGCGGACTTCCCTGGGCTGAAATAGAAAGACGAGACGTGAGGCATTCGTTGTCTTAAATTACGAGACTTTCCTAAAGTCAGAAAGACCGGAATAATCAGGATTCGAAATGTGAGCTCGTTCTTTTAGAGCTACTTTTCGGAACGGAAATATGCTTGGAAGAGTAAAATGAGCTAGAAACACAGAGATGGTCCCTGCATGGACGGTGATATGGATACATGGGTTGCACCTGACGTCATTCAAAGAGCACTCCGATGACCACCAGAGAAAAGTGAAAGAAGGAGCTCCCCTCTTATCAGGACCCCCTTTTGTGTCTTCCTGATTTGCACAGGCGTCGCTATTCTCCTCCCAGACGATTATAGAAGATAAACCCGTCACTCAACATTCTTACAAAAGCAGCTTCCTTCTCTTCCTCTTACATGATGGTCAAAAGTATGCGATGTGACGTCAGTGCAACCCATGTGTATTAAGTGATTTTAATGCAAATATTTTCTCGTTTTCGATTTATAAGGTTCGTACCTAATTTCCGGTGTTCATAGTACATAAGTCGTATGTGAAGGTCCCGCTCCACGCGCGAACTATGGCAGGAGTCAGCGGAACGTTAGCTTGCGCAGTTTAGGACAAAGACAAGCAGTTCGTTGTTCCGTCCCCGGTTGGGGCCGACGGGCTTCATCACAGCCACACGGGAATATTAATTGCGAGGGTGGTTGCGATGCTGTGCCGGATATTGCTACAGTTTGTCGATATTATAGATTGACAAATCGGTGCCTGCGAACAAGAATATCCACGTGCTTACTGAGAGTACCAGCGTGCTGGTTAAGCGATGACGTGGTGCTCGTATCTAGCCCGTCGCCTACGTTCCACTGCTGCGTTTTTGAAATCACGGGTGCATTACGGCAAGTCGAAAAGCATTGTCCGTCCCCCCCCCCCCCCCTCCCCCATGTTTTTTTTTTTTTGTTTTGTTTTTTTACAGTTACGTCAGGTACCTGGGTCGTTATCCTCATGCTTTGATGAACCTCGGATACGTCGAGGATAAAACTTGGTAAAAGTTTATTTATAATTTAATGGTCTCCTGAAGTGCTTGGGCCCTGAATTGACTAAGACTACGAGCAATGCCACAGTGATCTGCGAGCTGTGAACTTCCGACCCAGCTTTTAATACGTTCGTTATACCTTACCAATAGTTGTTTCTAATTATGGACAGTAGTGCCCTTAGTGCGCTTTGATTTTTGTTTGTTGGGTGTGCGGGAGCTGCCTCGTTTCATGTTAACTGCATGCAAAACCAACTTTTCAAGACTGAGACACGGGAGCTGGACATTCTTGCCATACATAGCAGTACGAGCGTTCTTCAAGGCAACGATTTGACATGGTTTAAAGTGGAGTGTTAGAAGAGACCCGTTGCAGCTAGATTTCAGCACTTGCTGAAATCTAGATGCATAAGAGTGACGGCACAAGTTCCTGGTATTGATAAAGACATTTAGCATAAAACTAGCGATAGCTACTTCGGGCACGGTAGCGCTAAGTGCGCTATCTCGAGATCATGCTTGGAAGGCACGGTCCGAGTTCCCAGTAGCACTAGGCGGGACGCTCTGCAGAAATGTGTCAAAGATCTTTCTAGCGTCGCGTTACCGCCAGATCATTGCTGCTAACACATTGGCGTAACCACCCTTGGAACGCATACCACGAAGACAACATTTTTTTTTTTTTACAGTCGTCATCTTATACAGTGCCGTTTTATTCTGTCAGAGTAGTTAACCTTAGCTACGGCTCAAACGTTTTCTTCGCAGTCTGTTGTCGGCGCAATTCCCGCATAGTAGTAATGATGCAGGTGGGTAACGAACTGATAATGCTCTTTAATAGAGAATTTTATCAAGTCTTTCTAATGCCTGTTATATTGATCTGGTCTCTCGCTTCGTTGCAGGCTTCGAAAGCGCAGCGCAAACTCTTGATACCGACATTGTTCTACATAAACACGTCATTCTAGAATTTTCTGATTAGTGTGGCACACACATGCCAACGCTACTGAACCGTTTCTTTTTTTTTTTGCTCTTTTTCGGAAAAGTTTACACCCTTATGATAATTAATGTTCCTTACTCTCATGCGCGCCATATTATATCAGACTAGAATGACCCTCAACGAGACGCGATCCCGCGTGAGAGCTCGGTTTCTGTTCGGCTAAAGTCACTGCACCTGCAGGCACGACACGCATTCTAAAATCTTCTGGTTGTGTCGAGTCAGTACTGCGAGGCTTTTAGTACAACCGGACACACACTTGGTGCATTGTTACATTCAGTGACACCAACCCCAACACGCGCGGTGAGATGAGCATCGCCGGCGCACCGTAAGTAGTCGGCCACGTGCAAACACGTGTAGAAAGTAAACGCTAATCAAGGCCGGCGGACTGCAGGTTTGCATGAACGTAAAAGTTGAGTTCGAGTCAGTGGCACAATCGCAGCTCTGAAAATTGTCATGCAACACTGTCCCAGATGTAAATAACTGTGCTTCAGAAAGAAGGGGTCTGAGAATGCCACCCTTGAATGGACAAAAATAGCTGTCAACACGAATGTGCATGACCTCGAACTAGATAGTGAGATCGATTAGTTTGCGTTGTATACGAGATATGGGTCACTAGTTAGACGGGGGTTTCACGAATGTGGAGCGCTTTCAGACTGCTCGAAATCCACGAGTGAAGTTTTTCTATTTGCTCCGTGAACGACTTTTTCTTCCAAATGCTCAGCGATACACAGCACCAGACTCACTCGCAACCACAACACTACTCACGTGACAACAAACAGAGCCCCGATCGTACGCGCGCTGCGCGGGCAGGGTCCAGACTTTTTATTTTGCATTTCCCGAAGAAGTCGACTGGCCCCAACGATAGTGCGGCAGCGAAGAGCGACGTAAAAAGCTGCCCTAGCGGCCGGGCAGGCCGGCGCACTCACATCCCTGACCTAGATCGGCGCCGCGTCATTGAAACCCCCAAAGGGGCGGCAGCAAGGCGCAAAACAACTCTCCCTTTCGCCTCGCACGCGCTTGTGCGCGTCTATGTCCAATCGATCGAAGCACTCCGTCCACGCGCCACGAACAGCATGCAGTACTCACTTTGGAGCGCCCAGGGTGTCCCCGACCGGAGCTGAGTCAAGTAGAACGCCGTGTGATTCCGGCACGTCGCGCTCACGTTGGTGCCGGGAGACGAGACTGCTTCTCGCACTCGCGACAGGACGTCCAGTGGCTCGGCAGGGCACCGTTCCACCCGGGAAAGGCAGAGTAGCAGGAGAAGCTTTGCAGTGGCAAACACCGATGTCCTCGTCGTCCGTGACATGACCGTGAATCTTTGGAACTCGTGAGTGGACGGACGATGTGACGGATGCTTTTCTCAGGAGCTGTCGCTATAGTGGGCTGCTGCCGTCGCTCCCAATGAACGATCTTGCGGCATGTCGAATTGGCTTATATAAGGGGTCGCCGCCGGGTGCGGTGAACTTTGCGACAAGGACGACTCGGATCGGGCGATTTCACTCGGATGGGTGCCAATGAACGTCACTCTGTTTCCGCGTCGAAACATTAATGTGACAAAAAAAGACAGAAATAATAAAAAGCGAGGTGGGTGGCTGGTCGTTTGCCGCTCATGAAAGAAAGTAGGAGCACGCGATTCTCGACGAGTACGACGCACGCGTGGGGAGAGGGAGAGGGCCTGGTCCCGTACACCTTTTCATCTCGCGCGCTCTTGCCATTTTCTCTCGGAAGGAGGGGGTGGGACGGAGTGGGGGAGGGCATGTGTGACGCGAAACGCTTCTCGCCCTCTCTGTGGCCGCGCGCGTCCTTGTCGCCGTCGGAATGATCGCCTTGTGTCGAGTGTGCGGGCCAGGCGTTCCGGGGAAGCTTTTCCGAGCGCGTGTAGCACAGTCCCTGTACGCAGCGGCATGACTCTTCCTGCTGCTGTCGCGGTGACAGCGACGTCAGTGCACTGCTCTGGATATGCACGGATTTATGTGAGGGGGCGCGCCCGGCGATGTTGGGGGCGTTGACCCGGTGTTATTGTTTTCGACTAATTTTTTTTTTTTTTTTATATTGTAAGCGGGATATGCCACGCTCAACTTTTGTTTTTGTTCCTGTCACGTAACACGCGGAGCAAAGCGTTCCGTACGTCCCTCCTACAATTCAGGGATATAAAGTTTGCTAAATGTAATTTTTTTTTTTGTTATTGAAATTCGATCAGCGTTTTTTGCACCAAGATTCAACCTAAAAATTGCGTTTACACACAAGAAATATCCTCTGCTCAGTAACCTTCAAGTTGAGGCGTTTCTGTAAAATATTACTTTCAACACGACAGCTATGTCGTGTTGGCTATGTTCGATAAATGTTTCGTTTCTTTTGAGAAGAAACGGAACTGACGGGGGGGAAGTGACGATATCGCGCCTTATTGGCTATCGGCTCAAATGACGAAAGTACCCTCCTTCGTCATTTGATACTCTAAACAATCAGACGCGATATCGTCACTTCCGTTTCTTTTTAGGCGAAACGAAACATTTGTCGAACATAGCCCCCCTGGTCTTCTTTTTTGGAAGGAATGAAGTCCCACAGGGTTCTATTAACGTTGGTTTGGTTGCAGAGTGTAAAAACTGGTATCACAAGTTTGCACTCCAGCCCCGGTATGAACGAGGGCTGGCTTGTTCAATGCTGTCATCTACATACCTATTTATTTATTTATTTATTTATTCAATACCCGCAGCGCCTTCTAATATTACAGCCGGGGGGGGGGGGGGGGGGGGGGATTACATACGCCACACCGATAATCGGATTCTGCGCGCTGTCATCATTGTATCCTGGGCTGTTGAAGGCGTCCCGAGTGTGCGCAGTAGCTCTTTTTCAGGAAATATGAGACTCCAGAGCTCATTGACTAAGCATTTTTCGCAGTGGTGATAAGCGCTGGAAAGGTCTAAAGAAGCTCATGCGCACATTTTTTGCGATAGAACTATTTTAACCTATTATGAACCCGGAAGAGGATTCTTTACTGGGGGTACATTTAGATCTCTTACCAAAATTTACAAATTATTTTTACTTACGGTGAATAACCAGGATGAACATGCTTCTTATTTTAAAGAGTTATGTTTGCCATTATGGGCGTAAGTGCCACTTCGTGTGAGCCTACAACAGGCACTTCCGGCATCAGCTTGAGAGAGGCTTTGTTATGTACTTAAATAATTCGTATGAAGCTTTAAGGCGCTCGTCAAGGTCAGGTGGTTCAATGGTCGAGCATGCCCGAACCGCAGTCGAAGTCACGAACACACACAGCGGCGTGCACATATATTAAAGTTCAAGTCACTGGGCCGACCCCGTATATGATTGGTTTAAAAATGATAGAACAGATACGTAAATATTACGAACACCATGACGTAGTACTTTAACGCTGTTTGATTGGCTCTATTAGATTGCAGCGTCTGCTGCGTTCAGACTTAATATGAAACAATGCATAAAGGTCAAGTCATTCCAAATGTTGTGCCGGAACGAATGACCGATATAATTTTAGCGGACTACTATTTTCATAACTTAAAACGAAATGTATGGATGACGACGAGACCAGTACTGAAACGGATATCACGATTCTGCAATCAGCTTCGAAGCAAGTCGGTAGAACGAGGTCAGCTGATGCTCAAGCCAGACTGCACGCAACATATACAATGGCAGGCAACATATATATATATATATATATATATATATATATATATATATATATATATATATATATATATATATATATATATATATATATATATATATATATATATATATATATATATATATATATATATATATGTGTGTGTGCTCCACATGGGGGGAAACGTGGGCTGGGGCAGCTCCTGCAAAACCCTCGTGGGTCCCTTCCAGTTATGTGAGAGCAAAGTTAACGTAGTTTTGGGCCAAGCGAGGGCTGGTCCACTTGGCCTGCCGACACAGTACCCCTGTGGTTCCCATTTTGGCTGCGCGTGTAATACCCCCGTGTGCAGTGGCGTAAGCGGGGACCGGGGGGGGGGGGGGCTTAGGGGACGAACCTTTTTTCCCCCAACCCCCCCCCCCCCCCCCCCCGAATCGCCTAAGCCAAAGCTTCCCTCCCCCCTTCCCGGTGCCCGCAATGGGCCCGCTCGCTACCATGCTCACGCAGTCGGTCTTGCACGGGCACGGAGCAAAGGGGGAGCGCGGACTATCTCCAACTTATATGCTTTCGGGAAAAGTGTTTGTTTGCTAGAAAATGGTCAGATAAATAAAATAGTCAATATTTTTTCATTCATGGTTATTTGATGGGATGCGGAACTCGATTTTAGATATATAGAGAACGGATATTTCGAAACGTTTCTGGGGTGAAGGATGGCAATTTCAAGCAAAGTATAACAAATCATCCTCACTGAAATACATAGTTAAATCAAACTAAAGCGGACATAATAAAACGCAGACATGGTGATAACATAAAACAAGCTCAGTGAGGTGAGGAATATTAAATGAATTGTAAAAACAATTGCACTGTAAGCAACGGGTGGCGCTGCGCTCCCGCACACATTGTGTATTGATCAGAATTACGTGCTTTCGACTAGAAATTACCGCGAATAAAGAAACAACTGTGACTAGCTATTTAAGAAATCAATTTACAGGCTCTCTTGATCATTTCATTTATACCAAGCGCCTACATATTAAGATGCAGTCACCTGCGTTTGCAGCAAACATTATCCAGGGTGTCCACCGTTTCAAACGCACTAGACCGAGCAGTCGCTCATTCGAAGTGGACCCTCTCGGGTATGTTTCTAACCGTCGTATAGTAAAGAGAACGAGCGCTCAGCATCCGGCGTTGTTTCGCGCAGAGGCGCTAGGATCTTGAGGGGACGAAAGACGTTTGGGAATAGGGCCTCCGGACAGAGGGCGACCACGTGTAGCGCAGACGTGACGGGTGTTTCACGTTTCTCTCTCTTTCATTGGACGCTTAGGATTTCCCTATTTTTGGCGAAGTTTCCCTAACTTCGTGAAATTTCCCTCCATCGAGACGCCCGTTTCAATGGTCACTCACGGATGCGATGAAGTCCGTCTTGCTTTCTGCTGTGCATGTCGAGGTGGCAACCGATGCAATTCGTTATTAGATTAATCTTTTCGTTGCACGGAACATCAGAAACTCCGAAGAGCCTTCATATTCTCACTACGCAAAGGCGCAAGGGCATTCAAGTTTGTTTTCACGTTTAGCGTAAAATATGCGTGTTTGTGTGTGATGTCATTTCTCCGAGTGACGGAACGATGAGTTCGGATTGACGACTTCTCATCGCCCCGAGGATATGCCGCGGCTGCCTTTGGACCACACTGCAAGGTAAAGCGACCTAGCAAAAATAAGACTATATTCCTTCAGCATCTAGTTCTGTAGCAAAAATTTGTTATTCCTTTAATAAATAATATATTTCGGTTTTGTGATTGTTCAGGGCTTGTGCGTGGATGGTTGCTTTAATTTTTCAGTGTATAATTTTTTTTTTTTTTTGCTGCTTAATTTTTTGTCACAGTATAGCCTGCCGGTAACAGCCAGGCATCGCCAGTAGAGTGAGAGTTCGAGGTTTATACCCTGCCTCGGTGAAATTCGTCAGAAGGTGAACGAACATTACACCTCCCCTCCCCCCCCCCTCCCCCCCCCCCAAAAAAAAAAAAAAATCGTGGCTGCACCACTGCTTGTGGCAGAGTCAGCAAAGGTGGCCTCCAAGGGGGCATTCCCAGCTTGTGCTGCCCGTGCATTGCCCTTTTGGTCCGACCTCGGCTATACGGGGGCAAGGTTAGTATTGAAGTGGGCTACAAGGGGAAAAAGCGTGGGCATGACAAGCTTGGACTATTTGTGCAACTTCTAAAATAATACTTTCCGCTAATATCAAGAACATTTAGTGCTCGTTCCGAAAATTGAGCATAGGAGATCGGCTTATTTTGATGCTAAATCATCCATGACTAAAATTTTAAGTCTAAAAGAAAAAAATTTGGTTTGCAAAACTTGATTGCTAACTTACTACTCAGCATGTATGTAGAGAGGGCCGTTTTACAATGGAGCGGTAATATTCTTTGCGCATTCCAAACACGCTTGCCGGGATGTCGTTATCTCTTCTAAAACTCGGTTTCTGTAGCCTGCTCAACCTGGCCACGTATCCTAATCACCTGTCCCAAATAATTTTAAATGAAAACGTGCGCAGTTTCTTGTTCCTTTTCGTACAATTGAAATGCCCCGTTTCGATGATCTTGCTCAAGACGTTTTATTGATGTACAAACATTTATCAAACTAGTGCCACTTTTTCCAGTAGGCATGCGGGAGAAGTGATGCGTGTTCAAGTAGGGATGCGCTGGAATATCCCACACCGTAGGGAAATGATCAAATAACGCCTAACGCGATGACGTTTCCGGGAGACCTCTTTGGGCTGCGTATGCTCTACCGTGTGCCCCACGAGGGAGCCCTATATCGTCTGCGTACCTTAGCCCACTATGGGCCTCACGAGGAGGGTGTCCAAGTAGACCTACTGGGGGTTCCAAAGGGGGATCCCTCGT